TATATCTTCTTCTATTGGTATTTTCAGAGTGCTGTAGTTTTCAGTGTAGAGGTCTTTTGCTTCCTTTGTTAAATTGATTCCTAGATACTTCATTCACTAAGTCTTAATATGTTGACACTTGCGAGGATTCAAAGATAAAATACCTGGTAGACTCCAAATGAGTTTCTGTTTTCCTTCACATGTTAGCTGCGCCTTCTCTAGTAGAAATCTTTATGAACATCTTTTTACATTCCAAGCCCTACACTTTTTTATTGTCCCTTCTTAATGCCCTCTCACTAAAGAAAAAAAAAGAACAGAAAATAATAATGATAATAATAACAATAATAAGAAGAAAACAGCATTTTCAATAACAAGGGAAAAACTACTACATATTTTTGGAAAAGCAACAGAGAACTATATTGTACACACTCCAGCATTTCATTTCATAATATTAAGTAGATATTCTCACATTTCAATTACCCTTTCTTCAGTGGCACTCAAACCTCCCATTACTTACTATTTTCTCCTTTACATCGCTGCACAGTTGAGTTCAGAAGCAAACATTATCCTCACACTGTGCACCAAAATGCTTCTATGTGTTCATCAAAAGCATATTGAGTACCTGGGATTTAGCTCAGTCGTTCCTCTGCCTGCCTTGCAAGCACAAAGTCCCAAGTTAATTCCCAGTATATATATAAAAAAAGGATATCGAGCATTCACTCCAAAAGTACTTAGCAGTCGAACTAATTTTTTTTCTCATTGAGTCTATTGGTACTTTTTAGGTATACAGTGCAGTTACACTCATCATTGGGATCTTGTACCTTTACATGACAAGTCTTGGTTCTCACTTTTCCCCATACCCCTGCCCTACCTTTACCCCTTCCACCCTTCCCTATTTACAAAAACTTTGTTTCCATTTTTCATTTTCTCATATTTTTTTCTTTTCCCTTTCCCCTACCCTTCCCAATTGCCTTACACTTTTAGACCTTTTCTTCCTATTTCACATTGTCAATTATACCATTTGGATATTATTTACACTTTAAGTTTTTCACAGCAGAGAAACTCTTTCCTATTTATGTATGTGTCTTATTCCTTTCACTTAAGAGTATGGCCTCAGTATGCATCCATTTCCTTGAATGATCAAAAATTATGCTTTCTCTTTATTACTACATGTTTGTAGTACATGAAGTTTCCCTTCCCCATGTGGAATTGGTACATGAACACAACCCATGGTAGTTTCTTTTTTATCTCCTTTCCCTCCCTCTCCCTCCATCACTTTCTCCCTTTCCCCTTCCCCTGTGAGATTCATCTCCCTTTCCCTATTGCTCTAGGGACATAAGTAATTCTTCCTAACCGGCAGATCTTTCCACGAAGAGAATTATGATCAATGAAATCTATTCTCTAATCATATGTGTGTCCTAGAAGCTTTAATTTAGTTTTCATTTTTGATTTTCCATTCAACACAAGTAATAACTTTCTGTTAGGACTTTTGTTATCTATGGATCCATTTTTTTTATTGAGTTTATTGGTACATTTAGGGATACAGTACAGTTACATTCATTGTTGGGATCATGTACCTTTACACGGCAAGTCTTGATTCTCATTTTTTTCCCCTTACCTCTGCCCTCCCTTCACCCCCTCCTCCCCTCCCCATCTACAAACACTTTATTTTCATCTTTTCATTCTCTCACATTTTTTTCTTTTCCCTTTTTGTTCTTCCCCTACGTATCACACCTTCCCTACACCTTTAGCTCCTTTCCTCCTATTTCTAAATGTCAGTAATCTTATTAGAATCTTATGCATTGTTGCAGAATATTCACACCAGGGAAACTATTTGGTATTTACACATGTGGGACTTATTTATTTCACTTAGGAGTATATCTTCAATATGTTATGGATCCATTTTTTGATTGATGTTAACAGAGATCACAGAGTACTGAACTGGAACAAGATGCTGGAGATCTCAGAAGTGCTTCTGTCTTCAATTGACAACTCATTGATCTATTTGCAGCTCACCAAGCTCTTTATAACTAGCCCTGAGAAGGTCAAGTTTCTCCCATGTCCCTTGCCATCAATATTTCTTCTTCAGTGAGGATATGTTCATAACTTTTGTCTTGGTTGAATCCAACTTGGATCCACTTAATATCTGTTTGTGTGGCACTGTGTGTCCCTGGAAAACACCCATAAAAATGTTCAACTATTTCATCTTAAATTTGTGAGCATGAAGCTTCAGTGTTCTCTTTGTTCTGTTAATAATCATGTAGATTCAACACAATTACCCATGGCTCTACAAGATTAATAGAGCATTTCCTCTTTCCTGAAAGTGCCTTTGTATACTTTTATAACTTTCAGTGCTACTCTCTTGAGAAGTTCCAGTTCTTTGGACATATAAGATTCCCTCTAGTCTTGCTCCAAGCCAGTTTCTTGCCAAAATTGTCACAGATCCAGTATTACTGAAAATTCCAAGTTTAAAGTCTCACTCAGATGCCAAGGAAAATCTTATCTATGAACCTCTATAAAAATAAAAAAAAATTTTAAATTCTTCTAGCATGCAATGGCACAAGGTAAGCATTTCTTTTCAAAATTGAGAAATAGGACAATAGAAAAGAATTGGATCCAAGCAAACCAAATGCCAGTAGGGCAATAATAACTCCTGTAGGTGTTTTCAGCACTTTTGCAGGTTTTGATGAGATGTGATTCTGAAGGACTTGAGATGTTCTGCTTATGTGGCATTGCAGGTTGCACATTTTGTAGCCTCTATTTTGGCATGGCTTCATTCCATGCCTATGTCTTTCTTGGAAGGCTTTCTATGATCCTGGCATCTTTCTGGGGTCTGCAAAGCACTTTCAACTTCACTCTCACACCCTCAAAAGCTGTTTTCTTAGAGGCACACTGTATTCTCCAAACCTTTCTTAATTCTGGTTGGAAGCCATTAGGAACCTAGAACTTGTGCATTTGAAATGCCTTAAAATCAGCACCACGGGAATAATGCAAAATTTTGCTGCCAGCTTGAGCAGGAGGCAGGCCCTCTTGGATCATAGCTTTAGAGTCCTCTGAGTGATGGATGGCTGAGTATGGTGAAATGATTCATTCACAGGGAACAAGTGCCCTGGGCAGCCCTGAGGGGCAGCCGTGAGGGACTTGCTTCTCAAATGAAAGCTTTAGACTGTTGCACCTTGAACCTCTAAGAGGTGAATCTTGCTGATTCCTTGGATTGTTTCATTAATCTTTGCTACTTAATATTAATCGTTTTTAGAAAGCCCAACTCTCTGTATGCCCAACTTGTTGGTGCTTATTTCGGATGAATCTGGAAACATTTCACAGTGTTTTGAAATCCCAATTTTCACTGTAGAGTTGACTAAAAGCAACCAATAGTACCCGTGCCAAATACTAAACTTTGGGCCATCTTGAAATCTCTTGTGCCGTGTTACTCAACCACCTTAATCTCAGTTTCCTGCAAATTCTTGGGACACAGGGAAAATGAAAAATATTTTTCTTCCAGGGTGAAACTGCCTTTAGTCTAGCATTCCTATAAGCAATCTGGCCTTCTGAGCTCTTACCAGAATCTCTCATGAAGCTTGGCTTATAGCATCCAAAGCCTTCTATACTCATTATCTCAAATCCTTTCCAACACTCTCCTACAACTCAATTCCAAAATCTTTTGTACTACAGGTTCATGTGCTCACAGCAATAACATCATGTCTCATACCAAACTCTTGCTGGACAGTTTTCTGTTACTGGGACAAAAATATCTGACACCCACAATTAAAGGTGGAAAGGTTCATTTTATTTTGTGGTTTCAGTGCATGGTAGTCTAGCTCTAAGGTAGAAATGGCAGGTGGGAGATCATAGAAGAGAAAAGGTGTTGAACCCATGGCATCCAGGAAGCACAGCAAGAAGGAAAGAGTCACGGACAAGAACATTCCCTTCTAGATCACTCCCTGGTGACCCAGCTCCATCCATGATCCTACATTACAGTAAGTCAGCATAGCTCCCCTAAGATTCAGTCACCTTGCACACATGAGCCTTTGTGGAAACATTTTAAATCTAATGTATAACGGTTTCATAATTGACTTTAAAAACCTGATTCTCTAGCTCCTCTCAGAAAAATTTTTAATGCTCAAGTAAAAGTCCTTTATTGTTGTGACATTACAAATAAATATATCATATTTTCTTTCTTATTTAGTAATCTCTGTTATTGAATTTTTAAAAAAATTTCTGCCAATGGAAAGAATCTTGGCCAGGTAGAATTAGGTCAACAATATGTCAGAGTAGAAGTATTTTACTGTCTCTTATGCAGGGGATATTTTAATTTTATCAGGTTTTATGTATATACTTATAGTTTGGAGTTGAAGATATGAATTTGTGTATAAACCAAGACATTGTGTCACATATATGGATTCGAATAATCTCTATTCTGCCACAAAATGGATAAACGAGTCATTTGTAAGAAAGTGGATTTACATTGAGACCCTAATATTCGGTGAAGAAACTGACACACAAGCTTGAGTATCACACGATTTCTATTATACAAAAATAAATGTATATGTGTGATAGATAATAAGGAAAAAGGTATGTAATCAAGTGCAAACAATGTGTCTAAAAGTGTACTTTGATGTAGTACAATTGTCTTACATATTTTATATATTCTTCAGCCTGTTAGTCTGGCTTTCAATGTATATATTTCATGATTCACTTCATAAGGTCTTACAAGATAAATGAATCTGATGCTGGAAAGATAATAGAGGGCAAGTGGAATCGGGAATTAAAATGCATTACTCATGTTTACCAATTCTCTACAATGAATGTAATCTTTACGTACTGCAAACATATATTAATAAGAATCAAAATTAGTCAATAAACTTGGAGTTGAGTCTAGATTTAGGACCCCCATCTTCCTACCTTCCTTAATTTCTGTAATCTGTTTCCCCTCTGTGACAGGAGGACAGTGATTCCCCAATACGTCATGGTCCTAGAATCCTAGATCACGCAGCAGGTGCTCACCACTTCTCTGTTCCCAGGGGCACCAGTGGAGAGCTTCTGAGCATGAATCACACCACCCTGAGAGCCAACTCAACATTTCTTTCATCTTCTGTATCAAAGTACATGATCCTGGATTTACTGACAGTCATCTGTGCCCTGTCAGGCCTATTCTGCTTATGTGGCATTGCAGGTTGCACATTTTGTAGCCTCTATTTTGGCATGGCTTCATTCCATGCCTATGTCTTTCTTGGAAGGCTTTCTATGATCCTGGCATCTTTCTGGGGTCTGCAAAGCACTTTCAACTTCACTCTCACACCCTCAAAAGCTGTTTTCTTAGAGGCACACTGTATTCTCCAAACCTTTCTTAATTCTGGTTGGAAGCCATTAGGAACCTAGAACTTGTGCATTTGAAATGCCTTAAAATCAGCACCACGGGAATAATGCAAAATTTTGCTGCCAGCTTGAGCAGGAGGCAGGCCCTCTTGGATCATAGCTTTAGAGTCCTCTGAGTGATGGATGGCTGAGTATGGTGAAATGATTCATTCACAGGGAACAAGTGCCCTGGGCAGCCCTGAGGGGCAGCTGTGAGGGACTTGCTCCTCAAATGAAAGCTTTAGACTGTTGCACCTTGAACCTGTAAGAGGTGGGTTCTTGCTGATTCCTTGGATTGTTTCATTAATCTTTGCTACTTAATATTAATCGTTTTTAGAAAGCCCAACTCTCTGTATGCCCAACTTGTTGGTGCTTATTTCGGATGAATCTGGAAACATTTCACAGTGTTTTGAAATCCCAATTTTCACTGTAGAGTTGACTAAAAGCAACCAATAGTACCCGTGCCAAATACTAAACTTTGGGCCATCTTGAAATCTCTTGTGCCGTGTTACTCAACCACCTTAATCTCAGTTTCCTGCAAATTCTTGGGACACAGGGAAAATGAAAAATATTTTTCTTCCAGGGTGAAACTGCCTTTAGTCTAGCATTCCTATAAGCAATCTGGCCTTCTGAGCTCTTACCAGAATCTCTCATGAAGCTTGGCTTATAGCATCCAAAGCCTTCTATACTCATTATCTCAAATCCTTTCCAACACTCTCCTACAACTCAATTCCAAAATCTTTTGTACTACAGGTTCATGTGCTCACAGCAATAACATCATGTCTCATACCAAACTCTTGCTGGACAGTTTTCTGTTACTGGGACAAAAATATCTGACACCCACAATTAAAGGTGGAAAGGTTCATTTTATTTTGTGGTTTCAGTGCATGGTAGTCTAGCTCTAAGGTAGAAATGGCAGGTGGGAGATCATAGAAGAGAAAAGGTGTTGAACCCATGGCATCCAGGAAGCACAGCAAGAAGGAAAGAGTCACGGACAAGAACATTCCCTTCTAGATCACTCCCTGGTGACCCAGCTCCATCCATGATCCTACATTACAGTAAGTCAGCATAGCTCCCCTAAGATTCAGTCACCTTGCACACATGAGCCTTTGTGGAAACATTTTAAATCTAATGTATAACGGTTTCATAATTGACTTTAAAAACCTGATTCTCTAGCTCCTCTCAGAAAAATTTTTAATGCTCAAGTAAAAGTCCTTTATTGTTGTGACATTACAAATAAATATATCATATTTTCTTTCTTATTTAGTAATCTCTGTTATTGAATTTTTAAAAAAATTTCTGCCAATGGAAAGAATCTTGGCCAGGTAGAATTAGGTCAACAATATGTCAGAGTAGAAGTATTTTACTGTCTCTTATGCAGGGGATATTTTAATTTTATCAGGTTTTATGTATATACTTATAGTTTGGAGTTGAAGATATGAATTTGTGTATAAACCAAGACATTGTGTCACATATATGGATTCGAATAATCTCTATTCTGCCACAAAATGGATAAACGAGTCATTTGTAAGAAAGTGGATTTACATTGAGACCCTAATATTCGGTGAAGAAACTGACACACAAGCTTGAGTATCACACGATTTCTATTATACAAAAATAAATGTATATGTGTGATAGATAATAAGGAAAAAGGTATGTAATCAAGTGCAAACAATGTGTCTAAAAGTGTACTTTGATGTAGTACAATTGTCTTACATATTTTATATATTCTTCAGCCTGTTAGTCTGGCTTTCAATGTATATATTTCATGATTCACTTCATAAGGTCTTACAAGATAAATGAATCTGATGCTGGAAAGATAATAGAGGGCAAGTGGAATCGGGAATTAAAATGCATTACTCATGTTTACCAATTCTCTACAATGAATGTAATCTTTACGTACTGCAAACATATATTAATAAGAATCAAAATTAGTCAATAAACTTGGAGTTGAGTCTAGATTTAGGACCCCCATCTTCCTACCTTCCTTAATTTCTGTTCTCTGTTTCCCCTCTGTGACAGGAGGACAGTGATTCCCCAATACGTCATGGTCCTAGAATCCTAGATCACGCAGCAGGTGCTCACCACTTCTCTGTTCCCAGGGGCACCAGTGGAGAGCTTCTGAGCATGAAACACCACCCTTTGCTCTGGCTCCTGGGCTTCCGTGTGAGCAGGAACCCCATCTCAGTCTACATCCTCAACCTGGCTGCATCAGACTTACTTTACCTCTGCTGCCTTCTTGTATTCTACCTATGGAAACTCATTGACTACTTTGTCTTTAATTACTACAATTACATACACGCTGTGGGGATGTGGTTCTACAGCATGGGCCTGTTCATGCTCAGTGCCATTAGCGTCGAGCGTTGCCTTGCAGTCCTGTTCCCCATCTGGTACCGCTGCCGCCGCCCAAGACACATGTCAGCTGTCATGTGTGCCCTGCTCTGGGCTCTGTCCCTACTGCTCACCATGCTGCTACACTTCTCATGTAGCTCTTTCTTTTCAAAGGATGAGCTATGTTTAATAATGCATTCTGTCATAGCCCCATGTCTGATATTTGTATTTGTTATCCTCTGTGGGTCTAGTCTGACTTTGCTGGTCAGGATGCTCTGCAGCTCCAGGAGGTTGCAACTGACCAGGCTGTATGTGACCCTCGGGCTCACAGTGCTGGTCTTCCTCCTCTGTGGCCTGCCTGTGGGCATCATGCATGTTTTGGAAGCCATAGATGCTCCTGGAATTCCGTTTTCCACCTTTATTTTGCTTGAGAGTGCTGCTTTTTTGCTGTCTAGTATTAACAGTAGTGCCAACCCCATCATTTATTTCTTTGTTGGCTCTTTTAGGCAGAAACACCAACAGTGGCAGCAGAGGCGGTCCCTGAAGTTGGTTCTCCAGAAGGCCCTGGAAGATGTAGCTGAGGGAGAGAAAAGTGGAGAAAGTCCTCCTCAGGAAAGTGTGGAGCTGTCAGGATCTCCTTAAAGGAGCAATTCTCTATCTACCATCAGTCACTCAGAGAAGCAGTTCCTGTAGAAGATCATATTTATAATTGTGAAAGGTCAAACCCTAGTATAGATATAGAGACACAAATAGAGACATCTGCCCATTTATCTATGTATTGTATCTCGCAGCTTTCACATGTAAGAGCAGTTGAATAGTTGCAACAGAGGCCATTTTACTGCAAAGATTAACATATTTACTAACTTGCTCTCTCTCTCTCTCTCTCTCTCTCTCTCTCTCTCAATGTCTCTCCCTCTGGGCCTACTTGGATGCCCACACAAGTCATATATGAATGTTTTTACTAACATAACAATAAGTTCTGGATACATTATCTGGTAAGGATGTTGTCTCTTTCTCTCAGGATGGAGCTTCAAATATGCAGGAAGCTAGCACCAATAATCATAAGCCAGGACTGAGCAAAATCAACTACAACCCCTTCCAGTCTCTCACTGCTTGAAAATTTGATATTATGAGGATTATTTAGGTGAACTTGGCTGCTTTCATCAAAGAGCTAAATACACCAGGTCCAGTAGTCAAAAACTTCAGAGGCTGACAAATGGTAAGTAGAGCGATTGTAGGACCAGCAGTTGCTTCATTTTGGTTCATGCCAGTGAGGCAGCCAACAGAGAAACAGCAACACACACGAGCATCCCAGTATTGTTGCACCAACTATAGCAAACAAAAACTGTGTTGCTGCTGTTTCGAATCCAGTCATGAAATCTTGATCCTCAACCTAACTAGAAACTTAACACAAAAGAAATCTGGAGAATGTAGTTAGTGTCAGTCACTTGACATTTCAAATAATCCTAGCCTATTCTTTGTCAACCTGGTGAATATTTATTCATCTTCTTTAGACCGTAATTCCAAATAAAGACAATGGCAAGGCTCTCTGTTTCATTATGACTGTTCAAAGTATTCTACAAGGCATATCATTACAACAAGTAATTCATCTTGTCCATACTCATAATAATATGTATCATTTTAGGAATTGCCTGCTCAGGGTTGTTACTCATTTTTATGGAATTTTCTTTCTACATTCTTCATTAAATTCTTTATGTATTCTAAATTTTAAAATGCTTTACTTTTTACTTTTACTTTTACTTACACACTTTCACCAGCAAGTTCACATTGGTTGCCATTGCTTGTGGTCTGGATTCATCATTTTCAATTAAAGGCTCCAGAATAGCAATTACTTATAGGGAGATAAACCAGTTAAGGTGAGATGTGAGTGTAAATTAGGCAGATATCAGATACATGTCTATGAATGATTGTGTCAGAAGCTGCTCTGCTCTCTGATTAGCCCAGAGTCCTTCCATAATAGGAGGTCACAGGGGCCATATCAGCATTTGATAAGCCTGGCTTAGTCATCCAATTTCACTGCAGCTCCTACGGGACTTTGTTGCTTGAGAAGACAGAGGTAGTTACTCAGATATCATCCATTCTCAGAAATGCTCATCCTCTTCTAGAAGGGTCTTCTCTGTACATCCAAACAGAATAATGGAAAAAAGTTAAGGGTACATAAGACCTATCTTATTACCAGAATGGGTTACAGATGCTATTATAAGTTCATAAGCCTATTTGCTACACTGGATGCTACATTCAGGATTGAGATAGCTTCCTTCTGGGAAAACAATGAGACATGAAATCTCCTTCTAAAATAGCACAGGCAACCTCTATAATGTGTGCGTGTATGGAGTTATACAAACCATTGTTGATTTCAGTACACTTCCACATCTTCTCCACTTTATTTTCAATGTACCACTGTAGAAGACCACCCATGTTTTGGACCTGGCCCTCCAAGGTCATCAAATATCTGAGGTATGAAGGCCTTTTCTACACCACCTTACATCTTTGGTAAGTTACTCAACTTCCTTAGCAGGGAGATGGCTGGACACCAGAGGACAAATGTAACATGTGCTAAAGGAGGGTCAGCAAGAGAAAAAATCTCCCATGCTTTCACTGAAAGCAACTTGGTGAAGAAAGGCTGTGACCCGTCCTAATGGTGGACACTGGCTGAGGAGCTGATAGGCTCTATTCATGGTTCCTAAGTAAAACCTAAAGAGACTTAACTGACCTTGACAGATAGCAAGATGTTCATATTGATTAACACGTATCTCACTTTACTTGGTCTTAAACACCCAGCGGAAAAGAATAACCAAAAGAGGCAGTCACTGAATAGGCACTAGCAATAGAGAGGGTTTTGAGGCCCACACTGCACCTCCCTCTAAAGGGATAGTTCTCCAAATGGTAAATCAGATAACCCAATCTCAAAAAAGGCTGCAACACCTATTTAATATCACCCTCCACTATTTCTCTGTCAATATCTCAAAGTGTTGGTTGTGCATTTCCATTTACCCCTGCTGTTCACTCCAATTCCCACCCACCTAGATTTTAACCTATCTGTCTCAAATACTGACAATTTATCCATAGTTCTGGGACCCTTTGCTATGGGTCTCCGATTCCTTGTACAAACTGTTAACCTGACATTCATGAAGCAGAATGACAGCATTACTTGCCTTGCTTGCTCTCTCATTATCTCAGAAGAGCATCTGATCTGCCTGTCCAACAGCCTGTACTTCATATGTAATCAAGAGGCACTGTAATGTCTCAATCAGTTGGATGTTTTCTGTTACTATCCTTCCTTAGCCCTCCCATGATGATTTATAGAGAAGCCCAGGGGTCCACACAAGTTCTCCCACAGAACACAACCAGAAAAATGGAAGCTCCTCTTCTAGTCACCTTCTCAATGGGAGGAGGGGTACTCATTGGGATGACTATGGGGATAGCGGTCATTTCTATATCCACATATTTCTCTCAGGCCTTGTCCATAGAGATTTCAGAAAACATGGATAAAATAAGCCAATCCTTAAATACGATACAAGATCCAATAAATTTTCTAGTAGCAGTCATGTTACAAAATAGAAGGGCCCTGGACATGCTAACCTGCCCAAGAGGGAAAGCACCAGGAGCTAGGGTGAAGAATGCTATTATTTTATTAATCAATCAGGATTGTTAAAGCAAAGATTGAAGAATTACAACAGTGCATCAAAGAGCAGAAGAAACAATGGAATTATTGGATGGTCCTTCCCACCATCTACACCCTGAAACATTCTAAATTACTAAGGGGGCTATTTTAGTACCACAGTTCCTTAATCCTTGTATCACACACTCTAGATTCAGCCATCCCTGAAAAGCCCCACCTAGACAGTCCCTCAGGAGTCTCATGTGTTCAGAAGCGGTGCTTTTGGAGGCTCATCAGACCACAGGGTGCTGTGCTCATCATGGATCAATCCAAGCATGAGTTCAGAGTTAAATGTGCTATTGGGAGGTGGAGACTTCTCAGAAGGGGCCAGTCATGGGCATGAGCTACAACGGTGTATTCTTGTTCCCTAGACCAAAGCTATCCCTGGCTTTCCCAAGTTATGCCTTACCTACTCCCCTTCTTGGGCCCTCTGGCTTGTATATGTCTTTTAATCATAATATGGCCCTCTCTGTTTTGTTGTTTTCAAAATTTCTTGCAGGAACACATGATGGCATTTACCATCCAGACAATAATGGAACTTGTCATGGCAGAGTATCAGCCACTGCAGTAGAGGGAAGAAGCTCCCACCTACCACTGCCCCCACCAAATCCAGGTTTAGCCCCAACCTTCAACCCTTTGTCAGGTTGAAGCTGTTCCAGCAGAAGATACTTTTACCCAATAACCATAAAACAAAAGTCTGGAATGTTAGATTTTCCTTGCCTTAAGATGTCTATTGACTATTGACTCCCCTCCCCATAATGCCCTACTTCTCACTTAAAAAGATGGCTTCTCCCACCTACCAAACAATAAGCCTTCTTTCCGTGATGCCTCTTCTCCTGCCAAAATTAACCAGATACTTGCTACCTCCAAGTAACCAGTGATCTCAGAAGCCCCTCCTAGTGATGTCACAGGCTCACTTAACTCCACCCCAGGTCATATATGCCTCACCCCAGTTCTATAAAATAAGCTCTATGTTCTGCCATATTACTCTCTCTCCTTTGATCAGAGACAGCCTGGCACATTGTCTCTACCATAAAGGCTTTACTGGTTCTTGAAAAATAAATAAATAAATAAAGATCAGAGCAGAAATCAATGCAATGCAGACCAAGACAACCATACAAATAAATCAATGAAGCAGAGAATTAGTTTTTCAAAAGAATAAAGAAAAAAATGTGAGATAATGAAAAGATGAAAATAAAGTGTTTGTAGATGGGGAGGGGAGGAGGGAGTGAAGGGAGGGCAGGGGTAAGGGGAAAAATTTGAGAATCAAGACTTGTCACGTAGAGGTACAAGATCCCAACAATGAATGCAACTTTACTGTATCCCTAAAATGTACCACTAAATTCAATTAAAGCTGAAAAAAAATGGACAAACCTTTAGCCAACCTTATCAAAAAGTACCAATAAACTTTATGAAAAAATAAATAAGTAAAAAGAGGAAAGAAAAGACCCAAATTCATGCACTTAGGAATGAAAAGGGTGTAATTACAATTAACCCAGGAGAAATCAAGAGGATCATCAATACCTACTTTGAGAACCAATATACCAATAAGATGAAAAACACAAAAGAAATAGATTTCTACATATATGTGAATTACCATATAGATGAATGAAAAAGATCTAAAAATCTAAACAACCAATATCAATCAAAATTGAAAATATAATTAAAAACACAACAACAAAAAAAGCTCAGGCCCTCATGATTTCACTGCTGAATTCTACGAGACATTTAGAGAAGAACTATTGCCATTACTCTTTAAACTCTTCAATGAAATTGAGAGGGAAGCAATACTCCCAATTTCATATCTGGAAGCAAGCATGACCTTCATCTCAAAAGCAGAGAAAGACCCAACCAAAAAAGATAACTATAGGCCAAACTCTCTAATGAACATAGATGCAAAAATCCTCAATAAGGTCCTGGCAAAATGAATACAAAAGACCATCAAGAAGATCATACACCCTGACTAAGTGGGATTTATCCCAGGGATGCAAGGATAGTTCAAAATATGTAAATCAATAAATGTAATACAGTATATTAACAGAGTCAAGGACAAAAACCATATGCCCATTTCAACAGATGCAGAAAAAGCATTCAACAAAATCCATCTTCCATTCATAACAAAAGCCTTACAGAAAAATTGGAATGGATGGTCTCTCTCAACCTGATAAAAGCCATCTAAGAAAAACCAACAGCCAGCATCATACTAAATGATCAAAAACTGAAATCCTTTACAGTGAAATAACAAGACAAGGGTATCCACTATCACTTCTGTTCAATATAGTTCTGGAAACATTAGCCACAGCAATTAGATAGGAAAAAGAAATAAAGATTAGAATGAAGAAGTTCAAATTGTCACTATTTGCAGATGACATGGTATTCTATGCAGAAGGCCACAAGAACTTCATCAAAAGTCTTCTACACTTAATACACAAATTCAGTAGAATAGCTGGATACAAGGTACACACACAAAAATCAATAGCTTTCCTGTACATGAACAATATATTAAGTGACAGAGAAATTGGGGAAACAACTTCTCTCACAATAGCATTCAAAAAATGAAATACCTAGGAATCAAGTTAAGGAAAGAAATCAAATTCCTCTACTCTGAAAACTATAGCACTCTGAAAAAGACATAAAAGTGGTTATCAGAAAATGGAAAGACATCCCTTGCTCTTGTGTAGGAAGAAACAATATATTGAAATGGCCATAATTCCAAAACTGCTATGCAGATTCAATGTAATTCCAATTGAAATCTGAACAGTATCTTTCTCAGAACTACAGAAAACAATCCAAAAATTCATCTAGAACCAGAAAAGACATAGAATAGCAAAAGAAATTCTAGACAACAAAGACAAGGAAGTGGGTATCACAATCCCCTTGCTGAA